TGGCAGCGTGCGTGCCGGTGGCGCGAGGGACGATTTCGAGATGGTTTCAGAAGGCGCGCTGAAACGAGATGACGGGGCAGGGGGAGGGGGAGCTGCTCGTCGTCGTAGAGGTCGAGAGGGTTGTTGGGGATGTGCGAGCGAGGATCGAGAGCAGCCAGCAGTGCCTTTGGCCGGGCGTGGCAGCAGGCGGCGGGCTACCTGCCCCACGCTGTCAGCGTCGGGCCGGCACAGTGGTGTGCACCGAGAGGGTTGGGGTCCCCACCCCCGCACCGCCCCCACTCGGGCCTCCTGTCCGCCAGCCAGCCAGCCAGCCAGCCAGCCGTCCGCTCCAGTGCTGAGCAGAGCGGAGCAGAGCGAAGCGGAGCCGCCGGAGCAGAGCAGACTCAGCATCGATTTTCGATGGAGGACCCACCGCCCGCTCGCCCAGGCCACCATCCTAGGCAGGCTAGCGGGCGGGGGGCCCACCCCCCACCCTCCCTGCGCGGCGTGCTGCTGCTGCTGCTGGCTGGTGGGCCACCCCCTCCCAGCTCCTCTTCTGGTGGCCCCCCAATGCCTGCCCCCCCACCCCCACCCCACCCCACCGCCCGGGGGGATAAAGGAAAGTGAGGGTGGCCGGTGCGTTTATCTGCGCCTGTCCTGCGTGATTTTTAAAGCAGCTTACATCACGACTCGGGCCACTGAGACACTTGTCGACGAGAGGATTAGGTTATCGCCGGAGGCATAGTTGTGTCGTCGACACCTAAGAAAACCGCGAAATATGCGAAACTCATTTGTGCGCGTGGAAAGGACGGAGGGGTGAGGGTGGGGAAGTGCAATGACTGCCAAAAATCATACAGTCACGTTTTAGTGCTGTTTTGTCTGAACTATATGATTTCAAATGTGCCGAAAAAAATTCTAGCTCACTACTTTTAGAGATCGTGAATAATTTGGAAAGATTTGAAATGCCCGCTACAATTTCAAGTAACAATACTCTAGAATCATTTGTGAGCACCTAAAGGTATGAGACTGTCACAGAGAGTTCTTAAGAGTGGATCCACTTTTCTTTCCAGTAAAAAATGAAGGTATTTTAAAACTTGAAAAGTTTGAAACGATCGAAAAATGTAATATTTTAAACCAGAAAGAAATGAAGATATGGGGAGGATAAACTACGAGACTTGCAATCTAAAGAAGATCTAGACTGAGAAACGAATTAGGACGGGTAAGAATCGGGTTGGGATGAGCCCTATGGAACCTAGTTGGACGGTACAATGGCGCCTGCAACGCGCTGGGTAGGCAAGCCCGCCGGGCAGCTGTGTGGAGCCAGCGGCCCGCCCTGCCCCGGGGCTGTTGGGCAACCACCGTCAAACGTTTTTGGCACCCAACGTTTTTCTAATCAGTCCCTTTTTCATCGCCTTGCGGAGAACAGGCGCTTTGTGGGCAGCCCAACAATCTCGAACTTAAAGTGTTCAGATGTCCCAAGGATACAATTAGGACAAAACGATGCATAAAGTTATCTCTTTTTCATTAGAGTGCTTGATGGCAATAGGAAATGCGCCGAAATGCGCTATAAGAAACGGGGGCATGTGCGCGTGGCGTTTCCTTGCCTTCCTAGCGAAGCTACGCCCCTGTGAAAAACACTCAAAAGGGTCACGGGAAAATTTTCCATTGTAAAAGTCGTAAAATTACAATTTGAAATTGTAAATTTACAAGCACTCCCTATCGACTTGGAATTCACCGACGAGCAAGAATGAGCTGTCGTAAATTTACGACATATTTTGTAAATCAAAATTACAACAAATGTTGTAAATTTACGAGGATATTTTGCACAGTGGCGAGCCGAAAGCCTGGTCGCGCCGCTCACGCACTGCATTCGTTTGGACGCAATCCGAAATCCGAGCAGGTGAGGAGGAAGACGAGACGGAGAGAGACGGAGAGAGGCAGAGACAGACAGACAGACAGACAGACAGACAGACAGACAGTGTTAGAGCCGGAGGGGGAGGGGGCGCGTCTCCGGAAGGGGCCGATCGAGGTGGGAGGGTTGTTGGCGGGAGAGGGTGGGTGGCGTGGACGGGGGTGTCGAGGTGGCGGCGCGTAGTGGGTCAGTAGGTCGCTCGCGGTGAGGCGGGTGAGGTGCGTATAAAGAGCATCTGCTCACCTCGCGCCCACTCCCTCAGCTC